GGTGGGATAGGGTCATCAGGTAGGTAACCAACTAGAGACTGGTGATCACATAAGGGGAGATTCGGTGGGATAGGGTCATCAGGTAGGTAACCAACTAGAGACTGGTGATCACATAAGGGGGGAGCCGGTAGGGATAGGGTCATCAGGTAGGTAACCAACTAGAGACAGGTGATCACATAAGGGGGGAGTCGGGAGGGATAGGGTCATCAGGTAGGTAACCAACTAGCGACTGGTGATCACATAAGGGGAGAGTCGGGTGGGATAGGGTCATGAGGTAGGTAACCAACTAGAGACTGGCGACCACATAAGGGGAGATTCGGTGGGATAGGGTCATCAGGGAGGTAACCAACTAGAGACTGGTGACCACATAAGGGGGGAGTCTGGTGGGATAGGGTCATCAGGTAGGTAACCAACTAGCGACTGGTGATCACATAAGGGGAGATGCGGGTGCGATAGCGTCATCAGGTAGGTAACCAACTAGCGACTGGTGATCACATAAGGGGAGATGCGGGTGCGATAGCGTCATCAGGTAGGTAACCAACTAGAGTCTGGTGACCACACATGGGGAGAGGCGGGGGGGATAGGGGCATCAGGGAGGGAACCAACTAGAGACTGGGGACCACACATGGGGAGAGGCAGGTGGGATAGGGTCATCAGGAAGGTAAACAACTAGAGACCGGTGAACACATAAGGGGAGAGGCGGGTGGGATAGGGGCATCAGGTAGGTGTACAACTAGAGACTGGTGATCACATAAGGGGAGATTCGGTGGGATAGGGTGATCAGGTAGGTAACCAACTAGAGACTGGTGCCCACATAAGGGGAGAGGCGGGTGGGGTAGGGTCATCAGGTAGGTAACCAACTGGAGACTGGTGACCACACATGGGGAGAGACGGGGGGGATAGGGTCATCAGGTAGGGGTACAACTAGAGAGTGACAACCATAAATTCAAGTGGGACACAGTCATAAGGTAGGTTCAAAACCCAAGAGACTGGCAGCAATGAAAGGGGGAGAATAACACAAGGGAAGCAAGTGATCACATAAGGGGGGAGTCTGGTGGGATAGGGTCATCAGGTAGGGAACCAACTAGAGACTGGTGACCACACATGGGGAGAGTCGGGGGGGATAGGGGCATCAGGTAGGGGTACAACTAGAGAGTGACAACCATAAATTCAAGTGGGACAGAGTCATAAGGTAGGTTCAAAACCCAAGAGACTGGCAGCAATGAAAGGGGGAGAATAACACAAGGGAAGCAAGTGATCACATAAGGGGGGAGTCTGGTGGGATAGGGTCATCAGGTAGGGAACCAACTAGAGACTGGTGACCACATAAGGGGAGAGGCGGGTGGGATAGGGTCATCAGGTAGGTGTACAACTAGAGAGTGACAACCATAAATTCAAGTGGGACAGAGTCATAAGGTAGGTTCAAAACCCAAGAGACTGGCAGCAATGAAAGGGGGAGAATAACACAAGGGAAGCAAGATATACAACTATGGGCTGGCGACCAGAAGAGAGATTCGGGTTGGACAGTGAGACTCCATAGTAGTGATCATAATTGACAGTCCACAAAAAGAAATGGTCAGGGATTCATTATAAACATGCATTCGTGAAGTCAGAAAGAACCATTCACACAGAGATCTGTTGGAAATCCACAGAGAACTTTTAGATCACTCCTACTTATATTATGAAATATATTAAAAGCTGTGTTTTCTATCCAGGCTCGCCTACCCGAATTAAAGCGAGATGTCATGCCATCACAGATGCCCGAAAAAATGGAGCGTTGGGAGGAGCTTCGATGGCGGCCCAATGCCGTCATGGATGGAGATCTGATGATGTACCTGCGAGCCGCAAGGTAGGTAACCAAAACTGTTTTATAATGTAATCAAGATAGATAACTAGTATTGTCATGTAACTAGAATAAGGCCGTAGTTTAATTACCTGCTATTACCAGAATGTAACAAAAAGAAACAAATGGTTCATCTATTTTGCCTGGTGGAAATTAATTGGCTGTGTTATCAAGTACTCGACAACCTATCCTATAACCAATTACCACCAGATGCACAGTGTATTTCGAAGAGTGAACAGGACTGCAGATTGTGCAGATTCAGGGTGTAAAGGACTTGTAGGACCCTGGTTGAAGATCCAGGGTTTAGTTTATATATGGTCTGGTGGCGTGATGGATAGCGTACCTGCCTTTCACCAAAATGCCCGGGATTCAATCCCTGATCGAACGCGAAAAGGCGTATGGGTCACCTTCCCGACCACATGGATTTTCTCTCTAGTACCATGGTTTCCTCCCACAAAAAGAGACCCCTTGGGCACAATAATCCTGACCATAGAAAGTGATTAAAAGAAACATAGCTTTTCTCTGGGTATTCTGGTTTCCTCCCACACTAAGCTCCCATGTCCACTATCATCAAGGCCAGCAAAAATGATTTATGTAAGTTGATGGAACATGTTTTGCGATTGTTGTAAAATAAATAAAGTTAAATTGTTTAAATATGATTCATAGAGAAATGCAGTTAGATGATAACTGATGAACGGTTAAATGTATATGATGATTGTCTTACAGGAGTGTAGCAGCGTTTGCTGGGATGTGTGACGGTGGTTCTACCGAGGACGGGTGTCAGGCCGCTTCTATGGACGAGACCACTATCAATGCCATGGATACGGTATATACCTCTATCACAGTTACCATGGTTACTGCTCATACTTCTGTGCCGTTTTGCTATTGAAATAGAAATAATTGAAAATCACAATGCTGTAACAATAACAATTTAAACAGCAACTAGTTGCAAGACTGTTGAACGTAAGTGCCATAAATTTGACATAGTGAATTAGAATATTGTTGAGTTTTATATGCATGAACTTGAATGTTGATGCAATTTCAAAGGAGAAATTTAATTGATCAGCAATATGTATTAAAGAGAGAGATGACCATATTTTTATACGCCCGTCAAAGACGGGGACGTATTATGTTATCACGAGAGCGGGCGGGCAAACGATGTCCGCTCGATATCTCGAGTAATTATTAACGGATTAACTTCAAACTTCACAACAAGGTTAATTACCATGAAACCTCGGACAAGTTCGATAACCGCCATTATCCGACCATAATTTGTGGAGTTATGCCCCTTTATGGACTTGCCGAAACAGTGTCCGCTCGATATCTCGAGTAATTATTAACGGATTAACTTCAAACTTCACAACAAGGTTAATTACCATGAAACCACGGACAAGTTTGATAACCGCCATTATCCGACCGTAATTACTGGAGTTATTACCCTTGGTTTCATTAATGCGATGCATGCGTTCCATGATGTTGTATTGCACTCATTGATCTACCAGTTATGTTGAATGATTTCTCTTTTAATATCAATTACTCACAAATACTTCATATATTTCAATCATACAAACAACTGCTCATTCAATGTGTGACGGGCGTATTATATACCGCTTGCGGTAACCTTGATGTATTTACAGCTGCACCGCCACACGTATGACACAGGCAAGGGTCTTCAGGCACTGGTCAAGTCACCTGCCCTCCGCAGCATAGAGAAGAAGTGGACAGAGGAAGACTCGGTATGTATCCATAGAAACATCTAATCACTTATCATACAATCACTGTATGCATACTTGCGATCTTTTTGAAATTTTCATGGGGGAGATAATGAGTACTTAAAATTACAAGCATAAATGAAATGTGTGTATGTACACACTAGGGAAAAATAACACTTTTGAATGGCATCTTTTGAGATGTTCTTTCCCTTGAAATCACCATATCTTAGAAAATAGGAACAGTTAAGCAAATTCACAGGTTAAAAATGCTCAATTTTAGGGACCATAATTGGGAGTCCCCCCCCTTAAATAAGGCGAGTTGGCGAGTATGTGTATGGATGTTGTTGTTGTTTACATGGTCACTAATTACATGTATAAACTATAAACAATCACAGCAGGTATAGGTCAGCACAGACATGTGAGATAATGCACCGAGCCATTGATCCACTATAGGAGTAAAGTGTCAGTAAGAACTGAAGCAGTCTAAACTGCTGATCTCACCCTCCCAACATTTACTGACCCACCATACCCCTATAGTTAGTCAGTGGTCAAGGCTAAACTGCTGATCTCGCCCTCCCAACATTTACTGATCCACCATACCCCTATAGTTAGTCGGTGGTCAAGGCTAAACTGCCGATCTCACCCTCCCAACATTTAGTGACCCATCATACCCCTATAGTTAGGCAGTGGTCCAGGCTAAACTGCTGATCTCACACTCCCAATATTTACTGACCCACCATACCCCTATAGTTAGTCATTGGTCAAGGCTAAACTGCTGATATCACCCTCCCAACATTTACTGCCCCACCATACCCCTATAGTTAGTCATTGGTCAAGGCTAAACTTCTGATCTCACCCTCCCAACATTTAGTGACCCATCATACCCCTATGGTTAGTCAGTGGTCAAGGCTCAACTGCTGATCTCACCCTCCTAACATTTACTGACCCACCATACCCCTATAGTTAGTCGGTGGTCAAGGCTAAACTGCTTATCTCACCCTCCCACCATTTACTGACCCATCATACCCCTATAGTTAGTCAGTGGTCAACGCTAAACTGCTGATCTCACACTCCCAACATTTACTGACCCACCATACCCCTATAGTTAGTCGGTGGTCAAGGCTAAACTGCCGATCTCACCCTCCCAACATTGACTGGCCCACCATACTCCTATAGTTAGTCAGTGGACAAGGCTAAACTGCTGATCTCGCCCTCCCAACATTTACTGACCCACCATACTCCTATAGTTAGTCAGCGGTCAAGGCTAAACTGCTGACCTCACCCTCCCAATATTTACTGATCCATCATACCCCTATAGTTAGGCAGTGGTCAAGGCTAAACTGCTGATCTCACCCTCCCAACATTTACTGACCCACCACACTCCTATAGTTAGTCAGTGGTCAAGGCTAAACTGCTGATCTCACCCTCCCAATATTTACTGACCCACCATACTCCTATAGTTAGTCAGTGGTCAAGGCTAAACTGCTGATCTCACCCTCCCAACATTGACTGACCCACCATACTCCTATAGTTAGTCAGTGGTCAACTACATAACACATTTATTGCAACAAGGACATTTAAAAAAGCTTGGTCACATATTCAACTTCGTGTACATATGTCATTCAATTGTGATATCCTAATAGAATCTCTACAGAATTCTTTCTGACCTTTCATAGATCTATCACTAAGCCCTGCATGATCGGTTTCAGCCTGTTTTATTGAAGAATATTTTAAAAAGTTCTAGGCCAAGACTGGTATGTAGCATAATTCTGTACAACATGACATGATTCAATCCACATAAAAGGTCAAATAAACTGGAGCTCTAGAATGGTGACACACCCATGAACAAATTCTGGAATTGCCCCCGAGTAGACTTATTTACAATATATTTTTAATGAGAATACTTGGCCACGATTGCTTATATATCCAGGTGACCAATACAGGCCATCTAGGCCTCTTGTTATGGTTACTGATTTATTATTGTTACTTACTCCCAGGGATTGCTACCCTATCTTTAAGATTACAAACCCATCATTATGGTTACCAACTTATCATTCTAGTTGCTGAATTATCACAAGAGTTACTCATCACTTTGTAGGGTAACTGACTTATCATTAGGGTTTCCAACTCATTACAAGGGTTACTCATCACTATGTAAGGTAACCGACTTATCATTAGGGTTTCCAACTCATTTCAAGGCTAGGTAATCACTATATTGGATTACTGACTTGTCATTAAGGTTTCCAACTCATTACAAGGCTAGCTCAACAGTGTATTGGGCTACTGACTCATCATAAGGGCTATCAATTTATGAGTATGGTTTCTAACTCAATGCTATTGTTACTGATTCATTAAAATGATTGACTTGTTGCTCTGTTTATGTAGAATAAAAACATAACTTTCACTCCACTGTTAACTACACCTCTGCTTTCAGGATTACATCACTTCCTTAGATACTTTGTGTTACTAAAGTTATGTTTTAATTTGTGGCATTATTGATATAATTACTGTTGAGTGTGAAACATCTAAATATTCTTTTATGGTTGCATGTCTGTAAGAAATGGGACATGTTATCGCTTTGTGGTCATGGTTACACATCTGTTTCTACGGTAACCTAAATTCAAAACATACTTTGAAGGTGAAGGTTGTGTATGTTTTACATATACTGCAGCACATAACCCTGTAACTTTCGACATGGAGCAATGAAGCACCGTATATCAGTATTACACGTCTGCAAAGTGCTAATACTTCTCTTAATCACAGATGTTACAGGTCCAGGGCACTTACATACCCCTCAGCAATAGCATACCCTTCAAAGCCTTGCATATCGCAGGTTATTAACACTTCAGATCTTCACATTCCCGCCATCGCCTGGTGCATAATGTAACCCTGACCTACAGTCATGCACACACACGTTTTGATGAAAGTGTAACAGGAACGCAGGATAGACATACTCCCAAAGTGTATGTAACACTAGTCATTCTCAATCATTTAAGATGTGCAAGGTTACCATGCCCCCTCAGTGGAGATAACACCATTCACCCCAGTCGTGTGAGAAATACTATGTGGACATGCCCCCTCAGTGGAGATAACACCAGTAACCCTCAGTCATGTGAGAAATACTGGGTGGACATGCCCCCTCAGTGGTGATAACACCAGTCACCCTCAGTCGTGTGAGAAATACTGGGTGGACATGCCCCTTCAGTGGTGATAACACCAGTCACCCTCAGTCGTGTGAAAAATACTGGGTGGACATGCCCCCTCAGTGGTGATAACACCAGTCACCCTCAGTTGTGTGAGAATAATGGGTGGACATGCCCTCTCAGTGGTGATAACACCAGTCACCCTCAGTCGTGTGAGAAATACTGGGTATACATGCTCCCTCTGTCGTGTAAGAAATAATGGGTGGACATGCCCCCTCAGTGTTGATAACACCAGTCACCCTCAGTCGTGTAAGAAATACTGGGTGGACTTGCCCCCTCAGTGGTGATAACACCAGTCACCCTCAGTCGTGTGAGAAATACTGGGTGGACATGCTCCCTCAGTCGTGTAAGAAATAATGGGTGGACATGCCCCCTCAGTGGTGATAACACCAGTCACCCTCAGTCGTGTGAGAAATACTGGGTGGACTTGCCCCCTCAGTGGTGATAACACCAGTCAAGCTCAGTCGTGTGAGAAATACTGGGTGGACATGCCCCCTCAGTGTTGATAACACCAGTCACCCTCAGTCGTGTGAGAATAATGGGTGGACATGCCCTCTCAGTGGTGATAACACCAGTCACCCTCAGTCATGTGAGAAATACTGGGTATACATGCTCCCTCTGCCGTGTAAGAAATAATGGGTGGACATGCCCCCTCAGTGGTGATAACCCCAGTCACCCTCAGTCGTGTGAGAAATACTGGGGATACATGCTCCCTCTGTCGTGTAAGAAATAATGGGTGGACATGCCCCCTCAGTGGTGACAACACCAGTCACCCTCAGTCATTTGCTGCATGTTAACTGCACATACCATATCCAATCTAGACGACATCCCAACAGGAACTTTTCTCACTGGAGGGCACTGTAACACATTATCACTGTTATAGTCCCTAATGGTTTGCATAGCATACATATCACCACAGTCTCACAGCAAGTGGTGTCGGCGTGTGTGTACAGAGAAATCTAGAGGAGGCGACACAGACGGAGATCTGGTCGTACAGCATTCTATATAACCCTGTCATTGTCTCGCCTAGTCTGTGTGTTACTTCACTGACAGTAACGGCACTGTGAAGCTCGGTAACAGTCAATAACACTTCAATCACCCTAACATCCTCAATAACAACATCTTACTACTACAATGTGCATAACAATGACCCAGACAGTTGTCGGGGGGGGGGGGGGGGGGGGGGGGGGGGGGGGGCTTGTCTAATGTTTGTGTTGTTACCTCCAGTAACTAATAAGGCACATAAACACACAGAATGTTAGGCGTAATTGAGATGTTGACCTCTTAACTACATCATTTACATATCAATTTAATTCACCATTCTTTACATTATAATATTCCATCATCATTCGCATACTGATATCTCTTCTAAGACCAATAACACAGTCCTATGCTCTTTAGAATGCATCTTCATAGACACGCCATAGTCCTAACTTTTTAATGTATATTCCAACAGCACAACCACTTATATCATATTACCATATATCTACCTTCAAGTCAAAGTTCCCACCTCATTAGCATATCTCTACCTTTAGTATATAATACACATCTACCATCCCATTAGCATATATCTACTGTCGTCTATGAAGCACAGCTCCCACCTCATTAGCATATATATCATATAGTATAATAAGGCACAGCTCCCACCTCATTAGCATATATCTCATATAGTATAATAAGACACAGCTCCCACCTCATTAACATAGATCTTCTACAGACTATAAGTCAAGGTCACTAATACTTTTAGTTTGATATTAATATACTGTCAAAACTACATTTTATGGTTCTTTCTGACATGTCTGTGTTTATTTTGATTGTAAA